AAACGGACTAAGTTGCCTGTCCCGACCTCAGTATTCTGTTACCCAGCTCTACTTTCTTTTTCACCACCTGACGAAGAACTGTTATTTGCTTATTGTCCATCTCCTGGCACGAGGTCTGTGTTTCCTGTTCCCTGCTTTATCCTCAGCACCTACACAGGGCCTGGCAGGAGATACTCAAAAGTCACTAGGTGCTCAAGAAGTGTTTGTTCAATGAAGAGAGAAAGGTGTGCATGAATGATTGGCCCTGTGATAGATTTGGGGGCCACCTTCAAGGAATTCATAATCTAATAGGCAAAATAGACATGTCAAAACTGCAGCATAGCATGATAAATGTTTTCTCAGAAGAGTACAGTGTGTACTGGTGACCTAACTAACAGGTAGTATATTAGGGACAGTTTCGCAGAGGAAGAGTCACTTTGCTGAGTCTTAAAGGATGCATAGGAGTCCAGCAGGTGGTTCCAGGGAATGAGAGAAGCTTAGAAAGAGGGAATAGCCTGTGCAAAGAAAGGAGACAAAACACCTCATCTCCTTAAGAAGAAGTTCAACACGACTGGAGCAGAGTGTCAAGGGAGGAGACCCTAAACTAAAGAAAATCAGCGGCACTATTTTCAGAGTCGCTGGCATCACACCAGCTCCTGATGGCCTCCCAGCCTCTCTCAAGGGACGTGACTCAGGCCTCCAACACCCTTCTCTCCAGTGCAGCTGTCCAAGCCTGAGGGCCACGAGGTGCTGGCCTACAGGTGTTCTGTTTACTTTCTGCCAAGGAAAACCTCAGCAGGTGAAATAGTAACGCTGGAATGAGAGAATATCATCTGCCTCTCATCAATGCCTCTGTTTCCTTGTTGACGAAGTTGAGGTGAAGAGGAGAGATGGCATCTGCATGGTTTTGTTTGGGCCTAGAAGCCTTTGTTAGAGCTGAATTCGAAGCCAGGTGTCCCGATCAGCTTTCTTTTGGGAAGATAGGAGTAGCCCTCCATAGCAAACTGACCTTTTTTCTGTTGTTCCTAACACTGATTCTGTAGCCATTAGATAGAAAAAAGCGGGGCGGGGGGAGCATCCTCCTATTAACCATGAGAAGCTGAAAGACAGAGGTGGCGGTAGAGTTTATGGGTCAGTGCCAGAAACTGGGAACACATTACAACCAAGTGAAGGGGAGGAGTGTCAGCCCATGTCCTATGAGGGAGCAGGTGGAGACGATAGAGAACACTGCATCAGCGCTTTGGACGTGTTTTTCTTTTAGTTAAACAATATTACAAATCCATACATTTCATCTCTATCTGTTAAAACTCTTGAAATTGTGATATCAAAACTTCAACTTGAAAAGTTCCCCTCTTTATTGGGGACATGTGGGTGAATTTAATGTGCTTGAAATCAAGATGGGATTTGAGGACAGGACAAGGAGCTAAAGTTGATGGGGAAGAAGGAATTAGGAATGTCATGAACAGCCCAGATTTTACCCCTGTCAGGGAGAACCAAGCCTGGCCCTGGCCTCCAGAGTTTTTCAGCATCTCTGCCATACAAGCGAGGAAGAGGTTTTACCACGGGCCAGAAAAATACTTGCTAACTCGCCAATCAGTAGATTCTTTGTGAGGATAAAAGAAACTATTCTAACAGTACTTTTCTGCCTTCTTTACAAATCCAAGTTGCCCTCTTTCTTTCCTATCTTTACTCCAAATCTTCATTTATTCAGAACAACTGGGGGTTAAACTTCGCTTCAATAGTACACTCCCCACAACTTAATGCTTTGGTTCTTAGGACAGTGAGACCAAAAATGTGATGACATTCAAAGGAAGGGAACAGTGAGAAACAGCTGTTGGCCAAATGAGCAAAGGCAGTGATGAGATGAAAACAATACTGATGATATTACCTTGCATTTCAAAAGCATCCTTCTGCAAGAAGAGCTCACAATAGTGCATGGATATGTATATTTTATCTTTCCTCCTTGTTGATTGCAAAGAATTAGTTTCATGCTTATTAATGCATACTTTCAGAGCTATCCACAAATACTTTAGCTGCGTCTTGAACTGCATTTAATTTCTTCACTGAGCAATATCGGGAAGTTGCACTGACTTTTCACCTTTTTCAGTTTCCTAGGTTTCTGGTTTCTGTGTCCTCTTCAACTTCAGGCCGTAGTGTTTTCTTCTTGCTATGTTAGTACTTTTAGCTTTAACTTGTCTGAATCCATGTTAGCATAATTTTTAAAAATCCTCACCTGAGGACATGTTTATGGATTTCAGCGAGAGAGACAGAGAGAGGGAGGGTGAGACAGAGAGAGAAACATCAATCAGCTGCCTCCCAAATACGCCTGACCAGGGATCAAACCTGCAACCTAGGTCTGTGCCTGGACTGGGAATCAAACCCCACAACTCCTTGGTGTATGGGAAGGTGTTCCAACCAACTGAGCCACCTGGCCAGGGCAGTTATTTAGTTATTTTTAAAACTTTTTAATCATGGGTGCGCATTAATCAGGTGTTTCAGATTTTTCTGTTCATTCTAACATAGTGTAACTTATGACCTGTCTTTACTCCCACATTTCTGAACTTTATAATGCCGTGTGACCCAAGTTTCGCCACAAGTTTGTGCTTCCTCCAGCAAACTCAATACACTCTTTCTAGACATCTCCTTAAACTCTCCTTCTGTACTAGCAGAAATCTTTCTCTGCAAACTCATTTTACTCTGAAGTGGTTTTAACTGCTGAGTGTTAGTTGAAATCAAAGACTTTAGAAATGAAAGCCCCTCCCCCAACTTCTGTTCTAGCCCTTTGTCTTCGGGAAGACACATGTTGTTCTCAATTATCAGGTAGTGCAACCGAAGCCCAGAGAAGTGACTCGTTTAAGGTCACACCTCTATTAAGCAAGGAAGCAAAAGATGGACTCCACTGTCCCAAGACAGTTGCAGTGAAAGACTGGAGAAGGCAGTTGGCTCCAGAGAAGGGAAGTTTCCAAATAAGTAAACTATTTGGTAATCATGTGGAGAAGTTATTGGTGCTTGGACACAAATCTATACAACTTAAGGAATATGAATAATGACGACTGAAAAGCTAGATAGTAATGAGAATTATAGAAGAATGGGCGTTCAAACATAGTCCAGTGATCTAACATTCTAGTTTCCGAATGCTGCATAACAAACCACCCTAAAACTCAGGGGCTGAAATCAGTGTTTTGCTCACAAATCTGCAGTCTGGGTAGAGTTCTGCAGGGATAGCTCTACTTCATGTTAACTGGGATTGCTCAACGCCTGAGCTAAAACATCCGAAGGCCCACTCAATTCAGACACTTGTGGGACAGAACAGCCAGGGCTGCTAGGGTTCCCCAGACACCGCTCCCTATCTCTTTCTGACCTTCCCACATGGACCCTTCAGCATGGCAGCTGCAGGGCAGCCAGACTTCCTACATAGCGGCTCATTGCTTCCACGGGACATGGCTCAGGGAACAGCAAAGCGGAAGCTGCGCCACCTTTTATCACGTGGCTCAGGTAACCATACAGCATCATCACTTTAGCCACATTTTCTTGGTCGAAGCAGTTACAAAGGTCTTCTCAGATTTAAGAGGTGAGAACACAGGCTGCCCCACGCCCACCACCTCTTGATGGTGAAGTGTCAGCATCCTGTTGTAAGAAGGGGAGGTAGGGCAAGATCTATATTAGAGCAGCTATCTTTGGGAATGAAATCTGCCACAACTAAAAACCACTGGATTACCAAACTCCTGAAACTCATAGTTGAAATAGACCTTGGAAAGGCCATCTATCTGTCATTAATATAACTCATTCTGCAAGGCGCAGCTCAAATGTCCGTTCCTTTTGGAATCCATCTTTGAAGTCCCCCGGCTTCCACAGCCCTTTGTAAATATGCCCACTCTCCCCCTCCATATATTCTATCGTAATTTTTTAAGATTTTATTTATTATTACTTTTTAGAGAGAGTGGAAGGGAGGGAAATATCAATATGTGGTACCCTCTCTGGTGCCCCCTACTGGTGACTTGGCCTGCAACCCAGGCATGTGCCCAGACTGGGAATCAAACTAGAGGCCCTTTGGTTCCCCGGTTTGATTAACCGGTTGAGTCACACCATCCAAGGCTGTAATTATTTTTATAACATGATTGCAATCAGGCAGGTACTATCAACCTGTCAATTAGCCAAACTTTTATTTCCTAATCAATCAATATGGCATAGGAAAGGAAACCTCACAGAGTTCCGACTGATGGATAAGACACATTTCTATGGAAGCCAGAAGTGGCACTTTGCACAGAAAACAGAGGAGAGAGAAAAGCATCCGCAATTCAGAGGAAAAAAAGACTGAGATCACACAAAGAAAAAATATAGATATATATCAGTATATACTTCTGCCCTACGGTAAAGGTATAAGGCATAAGCAGTGAATGTCCAAACAACCCGGAGCGTCAAGCAGCTGAGATGGAAGCATTGCCTAAAACAGTGGTCCTCCAACTCCCCTGCATCAGACTCACCTTGAGAGTGAGTCTGCATCAGACTCACCACCCCCAGAGTTTCTGACTCAGCAGGTCCGGGTGGGACCTGATTCTGCATTACACACGGGTTCCCAGGCCTGGGAATAACAGCCATTGCTGAAGCCCCGGCAAAGAGGACGCAAAAGCGGTGGGTGGAGAAGACCCAAGAGATGAAGTGGCCTAGTCTTAAGAGTCTATTTCTCTTTGGGCCCCCCTACCGGCCAGGACATCCTTGGGTGATTACGCCCCAGTGCCGGGCAGGCAGACGCCGTTGCTTCTCCCCAGCGGTGGTGAGGCGCCCCCTCCCGACCATCCATCCAGCCGGGACCGCACACAAGCGCTGTCTACCGAGGTGGGCGGGGCTATCCCTGTGGAGCCTCCCTCCGCCTCCTCGGAGGAGTTAGGCGGTTAGCACCGCGGGATGCAAGTCCCCACCCCCCTGGGGCGGGCCCAGAGCCCCACCTGGCTGTGATTGGTCAGCGCCCCCTGTGCGCGGTGACGTTTACTCGTGTGGGACGTTTCCAGGAGGAGCGCGGGAACTGAGACGTGTAGGTCTGGTGGGTTGTAAAGGTTCAGAAAAGACTGTTCTGCTGCCCGGTGCTACTTGGAAGACCCCGGGCTCCTTCCCCACGACCTTCCCGTTCTAGCCGCCTGCTACCTCGTTGGGCCTTTCTGCCTCCCGGGTGCTAGGTGAGCATCCGAGTGGGACCTCTGGTAGGTGTGTGTGTGTGTGTGTGTGTGTGTGTGTGTGTGTGTGTGTGTGTGTTGTGGGAGGGGGTTACCTTGTGCTCGTGGCATGGAGAGAGGACAGGGGCGAGAGAAATATCCTCTCAGTTTCTCTAAGGCTCTAGGGACCTCCCCTCGTCCCCACCACCCACTTTCTGAAAAGCTTTTAGGATCAGTAATCGGATGTCTCTGGGCCTTGCGACCCTAGGAAATTAGGCATTGATTCATTCTCCCAACTATTTTAAGTGCCTGCTATGAGTTAAGAACTGTGCTAAGCGCTGGGACAACATATTTAATTATGTTCCCGGTACTTAGAAGTGACAGGCACAGAGAGGATGCGTGATTCATATCCGAGCTGAAATGAGCATAGCCACTGAGGAGAGAACCTCCTACCCGGAAGACAAATAATTTTTGCATGGTGATAGGTGTTCAATTCCAGATACAAGGGGCCACCTTTTTGGGAAAATGATACCTGATCTAAGGTGTGAAGGAAGAGGCAAAAAATTGAAAATCAACCTTTATGAATTCTCTAGCCACTGCCAATCAGCCTCTTCAACCCCAGTTATGTAGATATGTAGTTACCTATTCTTGCAAATAAATGAAAAGCACACAGATTGGTTCTTCTTTTCTTAACAGGCCCCAGGTTTCAGAGAAGATGACAGAGGAACTGGATCTCATGGGACAGGACTCTGATGGGGGTAGTGAGGAGGTGGTCCTAACTCCTGCAGAGCTCATTGAAAGGCTGGAGCAAGTAAGTTTCCCAAATAGAATCCCCTTGCCCCAATCTTGGCCTTCTTTTTTCCAGTCCAACTGTGGAAATGTCAGGAATCAGAAAAGGGAGAGATGGAATTCAAGGCTTACTTCAAGAGAAGAGGGATCTTACCTATTCAGTAATAAAAAAGTAGGGGGGCAGCCTCTAGAGACCTCATCATTCAAACACAGAATCTTCCAGTGAGGCCAGTAACAGCCAGCTTTGGGTATATATCTACCAGAACAGTTCACAGAGCAAGGATTTGCAAGTTGGAATTTGCACAGACTACAGAACTGTTTTGGTGACTTTTAAGTTTTATGCCTTAGTCCCTTGAACATTTGCTGGTTCCTTGTGGAATGCCTGGGTTAGCAAGAAAGTACTGAAACATCTTTTTTTAAGGAGAAAACTGGTTTAGATGAGGGGGGGCCCCAAAAAAACCTGGAATTATATTCTGGAGGGAGGGCTCCTTGTAGTACAGGCTTCCCCCTCAAGTGAGTGTTCTAGGAACCCATCTGTATCAGTGCACCAACTAGTGATGTTGTGAGAGGCTGCGTTTGGCTTCAGTGAAATTTTTTTTAAAGATTTTTTCAGTGCGTTTGCCTCCTTCATTATGGGTGATTTATGAGCACACCTGTCCATGCTGCACTGGGTGTTAAGCCGTTTTTGACCAAAAACGGTATGACCCCCATACCCCACCCTTTTTATTCACTTGATCTCCTCCTGAGTGATTTGTTTGTTTCCTGGATGAAAAAAGTCCTCTAAGGCCTAACATTTTTGCCAATATGGAAGAGATAAAACAAACAAAAAAACAACAGAAGCACTAAAAGGAGTCTTGATAGGTGTATTGCACCAAAGGGAGAGTACTTTGAAGGTTACTAAAGTTTAAATAGATAAGAATAAATAGACAATTTCTATAAATAAATTCTGGGGTTTGGGGGGTTTCCCTTCATACTTTCTTTTTTTTTTTTAGCTGTTCTCTATATTTTCAGTGCTTACCTAAAATCATTTCTAAGCTCCCTCTCCTTTTAGTCATACTAGCTGGAGTATTTCCTGTGTGCCAGTAACTGTTATTTACAATTACTGTCTTCCAAGGCTGTAGCAGTTAGGAGCTTAGACTATCTGTATTTAAACCCTTCCATCCCACTAGTCTGTTTTGTGACCCTTAGGCAAGTTATAAAGCTTGTCTCCAGCACTTCCTTAACTGTACAACGGAGTTAATAATACTGGCTACCTCAGAGAGTTGTGAGGATTAAATGTAGCAGTACACACGTACAGTGCTCAGCATTATTATCTGACACCTGATAAGTACTCACTGAATGTTAGCTGTGAGTAGTAGTAATTCTTAAAACAACTCAATTAGGCAGATGTTATTGTTATCTCCATTGTACAGATCGGGAAACTGAAGCTTAGAGATGTAAAGTAACTTGCCCAAGGTCACACAGTGGCAGCAGAGCCAGGATGGAGCCAGATCTCTTTTTTACTTCAAAATGCATGCTTTTAATTCACTACACCCGCTGCACCCTTTCTGTATGTGTCCCTCTCAACAACTCATTTATGTGTGTTACTTTAGTGTTCTTCATTCTTTCCTCCCGTACATGCCATCCTGAGAGACAAAGGCAAAGGACCCATAATTTAAAAAGTATGTCTTAGATGTTAATCCTAACTTTATAGTGGTGATTCTTTTTTTAAAAAAATTTTATGTATTGATTTTAGACAAATAATAGGAATAAAGAGAGAGAGACATCAATTTGGTGCTCCACTTATCTAAGTATTCACTGGTTGATTCTTGTATATGTCCTGACTGGGGATCAAACACACAACCTTGGCATATCAGGATGACGTTCTAACCGACTGAGCTACCCATCCAGGGCAATAGCAGTGATTCTTAATTTGTTTTTATATCACAGATCTTTTTGAAAATCTGGTGAAAACTCTAGCCCTTCTTCCCAAAATAATACATGTATATACTCACGTAGAATTTTGCATATAATTTCAGAAGGTTAACGGACATCCTGAAATCTGCCCACCTGGTTTGTGGACCCCAGTTTAAGAGCTACTGCTTTATTAGGAGAGGATTCATTAATCAAAAATCAAAAGGCACAAAGCATAATGGAAAAAACTGATATTCTGTTTTTACACTTTGATGAGAGTAAAAAGACAAGCCACCAAACTGGGAGAAAATATTTGCAACATATATAAATGACAAAAGATTAGTATCCACAATACATAAATAAACTTTACAAATTGACCGGTAGAAAACTGAAGTCTTAACAGGCCTCTCCTAGAAGCAGAAACCAGGATGCCAAACAATTACATAAAAATGTGTTCAACCTTTTCAGTAAACAAGAAAATGAAAATTTAAACCCCAATGAAATATCACTCATACCCATCAGATTGACAGAAATGAAAAAAGTGGGCTTTATAAAGTATTGGGAATGATCTAGAGCAGTTTGCACACTTACACACAAATTGCACAAATACAAGGGCTGGCCTTGTATTTGCCACCTGTGCCCTAGAGAAACATTTGTGTGTTACTCTAGGACACAGGCACAAAATGTTCATAGAATTGATCCAGATATCTTTCACCATAAGAATAGATGGCGTGTATGCACAAGAAGAAAAAAAACAACAAAATGAATAAAAGATAGCTCGTGCAACAGCATGGATAACTGTTAGGAGCATTGTGTAGAACAACAAAAAATAAGTTGCTGAAGAAACTATTTATATAAAATTCAAACACTTGCAAAACTATTGTTGAAGGAAGTGCTTGCCAATTTGGATGGTGTGGCCTGCCCTGGTGTGCTACAGATGCTGTGATGCAGGGTGATGTTGACCCTTCGCCCCTGGGGCACAGAGCCCCCAGGCTGGTTACCTCTGTGTGTCATCAGGGGCTCCTTGGAAGGCAGCCTGAGGACAGTTGTGTCTGACAGCACAGCCTCAGCTTGGCAGTGGGTAAGCAAGAGTTACACCTCATGCCTGATGTTCTCTTGCAATGCCCCCGAGTGCAGCCAAGGGGTTTGTCTGCCCCCTGGATGGCGGTTGCAGTTGGCAGACTCTGGCTGCAGAACGTGGCCTAAGGAGCAACCTGACAAGGACCACCGATAAACACAGCTGCAGGAGTATACCTAGGTGATTCTTGAATGTCTGTAAAAAAAAATGACTTAAAAGGTATTACCTACAGTGCAGAGTTTCTGATTTTAATGATTGCATTAGTTTGCTAAGACTGCATATCAAACTACCATAGACTGGGGGCTTAAAGAACTGATTTATTTTCTCATCTCTGGAGGCTGGAAGTCTAAAATCAAGGTGCTGGCACGGTTGGTTTCTTCTCAGGCCTGTCTCCTGGACATGTAGACAGTTGCCTGCTCCCTGTGTCTTCACAGTCTTGCCTCTGTGTGTCCATGTTCAGATTTACCCCTATTAAAAGGACACCAGCCGTATTGGGTCCGGGTCCACCTAAAAGACCTCATTTTAACTTAATCACCTCTTTAAAGACCCAGCCTCCAAACACAGTCACCATTCTAAGGTGCTGGGAGTTAGGACTTCGACATTTGAGTGCGGGGCAGAGGGAGACACAGCTTAGTCCATAACATGTTGAACAGCTTGTCTTTGAAATGTTTGATCAGGAACAAGATGTAGCCACTTTAAACAAAGAACCTGATTTTTTTTTAAATCAATTAAACATAAATTCCTCAACACACTTTGAAAATATTTTGTTTTATACTAATGTTTTCTCCTGTTTTATATTTCATTAAATTTCATACTGCACTGTAAATAAGAACTCTGCCCCCTGCAATCTACTCCATTTTACCCCAGCTCACCATACAAGGGCTGTCATTTTCTTTAAATGCTGTGTCATGCGAAGGTTGGAAAGTACTATGTAGAGATAGAAACAAGTGTAGTGAAACTGTGCAGAATATTAAACACTAAATTCAGGCTAATGATTACCACTGAGGAGGGAAAAACAGAGACTTTTAAAATAATGGTAATATTTGTTAAGGAAGTTACATGTACACAGATATTTGTATCACTGTTCTTCATGTTTATTTGTATGTTATTTTTGTAGGTATTAATATTTAATAAAATCAGTTAAAAAGAAAAACTGCTTTATAAGTTCTCTGTGACAGTTTGCTCTTTGCTCATTCATTATGCTTCTTGAAAATACAGATTTTCTTTCTGGTTAACTTCTGCAACACTAATAAAAGAAGCTTGAGCACCTGAAAAAATTTGTGACAGTAGCAATACCTAGTATTTAATAATGTGTTGTGACGGTGATATTTGGAGAAGCAGAGACTCAAGGAAGTCAGAAGGAATAAATTGAGCCTAATTGGCATATAATTCTGAGCTATGCTAAAACTAAATGTCCTGTAATTGAAAGATTGGTATACCTTTCCTCAGTCACTTGTGGCTATTTCAGTTTTATAAGCCTTGGTAATATCTGAAATGTATGAAGCATCTGGCCTTGAGTTGCAAATTAGAGATTTAAAACTCTTGTTTCAAAACTCTTTAATAGATGAATATCCACTTCTTTATACTTTTGCACAGTTAGTAAATAATCTGTTTTCTCACCAACAAGATGAGGATAACTCTATTCATTTCTTCTCAGATATTATAATGATGAGTGAAAAAGTATTTGTAAAATGCCCTGAGCTTCAGAAATGGAGAGATTTATGTGGTGTTACGTCATCTCCCCAGATAGGAAGTTGCCGGTGCCCCCTGGTGGGGAGTAATAGCAGATGAAGGAAATGTGTTGATGTTACTTAGTGAAAGGTACTATTTGAACGCCAGGTGGTGTTCCTCTCAGCAACAGCTATACTGACATTTTTGAAATGCACAGTGATTTTTTTGTAATGTTGGTTAAATATAAGGTTGTAAACACAATCAATTTTCTATGAAAAGAAATGGGAAGGCTGTTATTAAATAGCTTGCCTTCAACACATTTCCAGTATTTCTGACCCGTAGACAGTTGTCCTACTAGTCAGAAATACTGGAAATGGCTGTCATTTTCAGGGCCTATGAGGTGCGTGCTGACTTATAGGGTTGTTCTGCTACATTGTGAGTGGTGTGCGTGTGTGTGTAAAATTTTTTTGCATTATTTTTTAGGCTTGGATGAATGAAAAGTTTGCCCCTGACCTGCTGGAAAGCAAGCCTGAAATTGTAGAATGTGTCATGGAACAGTTAGATCACATGGTAAGAGTTGCTTATCCCAGGGGCACCAAGGAAGAGAGCATTAAAAGGGTTTGTCACTGTAGTGAGAGGTCTGTTGGCAAATCTCTTTTGTTTGGCTCAGCTTAGTTTTTTTTAAATAGTGAGTTAGTTACCTACATATGCTGAGCATGAGAGTCCCTGGGAATATCAGGATATCGTCTTCCCATGGAGAGTCTAAACATCTGTCACCTCCCACCCCGCATGTTCATGTGACGACAGCTGACCTAAGCGAGGTTGGGGCCTCCCCTTCCAGTGTGTTCTCTGTTCCCCATAGTCCCTAACTGCTCACCCTTCCGTGTATCTTACCCACCTAGCCCCAGTTTGTGGCCCTGGTTTTAGATGAGCTTCGCTCAAGTCATTATCAGCCTCAGAGTAGCTTTAAAACATGGATGTTTTACAGTTTTTCAACCGGTGTTTTAACACTGCTTCTAAGACGCTGTAGACATTTCTTCTGTCTGCTGGTTGTCTCCTTCACCACTGGTCGGAGCTCCTGTAGGCCCTTCTTGACCAGTCACTTCAGATTCTATTCAAACAGTCATTTTCTAGAAGTGCTGTCACCTTGTTTTATTGCACTTTGTTGCATTTCACAGTGCACTTTGTGGGGTTTTTTTTACAAATTGAAGGCAAGATCTTTCCACCAGCAAAAAGACTGTAACTCACTTTATTGTGGTGTCTGAAACAAAGCCCACAATATATGCGAGGTATGCCTGTAAATGAGTATTGTTTGAACTTTATGTGATGAGACTGTAGTCATATATTATTTGTGTGACTAAGGAATTAAAATGAGAACTCTTATGAGTGTTTTCTTCTCCTTTGACCTAAATGTAGCACGTGAGTCCTCAGCGTTGCCAGCGGTGGCGGTCCTTGTGGGCTGCTTGCAGGTTAAACAAAGAAGGTTCTTTGTCTCTGCATATCAGGTTTTTTATACACTTTATCGTCCCTTTCAACAGGAAGAAAATCTCAGGAGAGCAAAGAAGGGGGACCTGAAGGTCAGTGTCCATCGGATGGAGATGGAGAGGATCCGCTATGTCCTCAGCAGCTACTTGCGGTGTCGGCTCATGAAGGTTTGATGGAAGTGAAGGGCATATCTGTAGATATACAAATTGTTTCCTGTTTAATCTACATAATGTTGCCTGTAGGGTATTGGTCAGTCACACATCTGTATATACACAACAGCTGGTGGTTAAACCAGCTGAATTTCTGTGGCTTTTACTAGAGATAGAAGTGATAAAGATACCTGTAGGCATTAAGGCAGTGCAGTGTATAATGTAGACTGATCATTTCGGGAAGAAGTTAGGCTGAGGCCTGGGAGAGTCCACGCCCTGAAGATGCTGCTGAGGCCCAAAATCTGGGGAGCTAAAGAGTAAGGAGGGCAAGAGATTATTCTGGAGAAGCATAGGTGGAACATGGCACACTCTTGGGGACAGATGTGTTTTTTAATCTATTTATTTACTGTGAATGGTGCCCCCTGGTGTTAAAGCATGGCAGTGCTGACTTAACATTGAACTATAGCTCCAACTTATAAAAACGAAATTGAAAAACATACTTATTTTGTACAATACCTATTTTAACCCTGGAAAGTTCTTACTTCCTTTAACTTTCTACTCATTAGCTCTGGTTGTTCCCTTAGTTATTACAAAATAAATACATTCTCCTACGTGAGAATGCTTTAGATCTCTAAAGACAGCTCACGAGTCTTATTGGTCTCTTTCAGACAAAGTCCTAGTTTGCTGATAGCCATCCTTATTGCACCACCTCAGCTGAACACACTGTTCCAGTTGCAGTTTGGTCACGTCTGTTAAAGCTGGAGGGTCACTTTCTGTATTCTGGTCATTAGAGTGGTAGTGATGTTGCCAAGTATTACATTGGCACATTCGACGGGCACATCACACGAAGCTCATTCTGTGCTCATCGTTCACTTGAGCCTCATCTGAAATGTTTCAGTCACCGTTACCCCATCCCGTCACCATCCAGTATTTGTATGACTGAATTTTTGACACCTAAGTGTAGGGCTTGATGCTTATTCCTCTTCAGGTTTATTTTATTAAATTTGGCCAACTCTCTGGTTTCTGGATCCTGATCTTGTCACCTAATATATTAGTCATCTCTTAACACTTTATGTAATCAGCAAGTTTGACACATGTGTCATCAAGGGTCTTCTCTGATGCCTTAACGGGACTGGGCCATTGATAGAACATTTCACCAAAGGCTTCCCTGTAGACCGACGTCTCTCTGTTGAGTCCGTAGTCTTCGTTTAACTGTCCATGAGTCTCCCACTCTGCACTGTCACCCTGCCCCAGTTTACAGCTTGTCCCCAAAGGTGTCATAGAGGCATTATCATGTCCTGAAAATGCTGAGATGCACAGTGTGCCTCTTCACTCCACCCTCAGCCACCAGGCCGCTTGCTTTTCTGGATAAAACCTCTTCGTGTTTACTACTTACTTTTCTTTGAATTCACAAACCGTCTTTTAAATTGTCTGTTCTAATATGCCACATGTCAATGTTAAGGACACTCTCTGTATCTGAAGATTCTCCACCTGCTGTGTTTTTGAAAATTGGGAAGTTTGCCTATCTCTGATCTTTCATACTTCTTGTGAACTAATTCCTCTGAGATTAGGAAACTGTGTATTTTTAATAAGTGATAAAGTAGTAGTAGCAATTTACATGTAATAGGAGAAAGTGCTTTGTCTATTTAAACCCCATATAAATGTTAGTTTAATTTATCCTGGAACATAATTGATCCAAGCTAAAAGTCTTAACACCCCTTTAAATAAAATAATTGCTCCTTAATCTTGGCCTTTGGCTGTTCCTGACCATCGTCGTTTCCTTGGTTAGAAGGAGCATTTCCTTGACAGAAGTAACCAGAACATCATTTCTTTCAAACAGCAGACTGATCCCTCCCAGGTTCCTAGCCACACATCTTTTATCTTTTTTTCCTGGCAGTTCTTAGCATTTTTTATAAGGCTCACCTCACTGTGGGCTTTATCCTTGCTGTTTATATTCTGGTAAGTGTCACTCTTCTGTCCGCTTCTGTATTCTGTCTGCAGCTTTCCAGCTTTGGGGTGTGTTTCATCTCATAGAATAATACCCTGTACAATTACACAAATATGTTAAGTAACATCCCCTTCTCTTCCCCTTAAATATCATTTACAGCTGTATTCAGATTATCTTTTTTTCTTATCCTCACCCGAGGACATGCTTATTGATTTTAGAGAGAGGGAGGCAGAGAAACACTGATGTGAGAGAGAAACACTGATCAGTTGCCTCTCCCACACACCCTGACTGGGCACCTAACCCGCAATCTAGGCATGTGCCCTGACTTGGAATCGAACCTACAACCTTTGGGTTTGTAGGACGACACTCCAACCAACTGAGCCAGACTGGCCAGGGCTTCAGACCATCTTTTATAGAAGCATGTCATTCTTTTTAGAGCCATTATCTTTCCTCTGAATTGTTTGAAATCTGTTTTCTTGAAGTCCAGAGTATAGGTCTTATTATTAAAAACAGTCTTGACCACAAAGACTTGCCACTGTTAAAGTCAATTTCTATGCTAATCTCCCTCTATTTCAGAAAAGTAGTATGTCTGACACTTAAATCTTGACAGCTGTTTTCATGATGGTTTTTTTAAATTTATCCTCATAGATAGAGAAGTTTTTCCCCCATGTCCTTGAAAAGGAGAAAACACGTCGTGAGGAGGAGCCTTCTATCCTTTCTCCAGCAGAGCTTGTCTTTGCCAAAGAGTGAGTAAGCGGGGAGTGTGGGACCTGCCTTTCTGTCCCTGGCTGGTGGGCGTGAGTTTTGCTGGTTGTATCCACGAAGCCGATCTCAGAGCCATTGTTGTCTGTCTGATAGTTCTGGTGGCTTCCACCAGCCAGCTTGTCACAGTGATTTTAATTTGTGTATTTCAGGTACATGGCTAACACAGAGACCTATCTAAAGAATGTTGCCTTGAAGCACATGCCTCCGAATTTACAGAAAGTAGACCTCTTGAGGTCAGGTAAGAACATCTCTTTTCAGTCACCTTGAGTATCACATTCCAAGTACCTCCAGATGCTTTAGAATAAGATCTTTCCCTTTACTCTCTTTCTCTCAAACATGGGAAAAAAGTGTGTAGATAGACAGGAAAGACAAGAGAAGAAGAGTTGAGTTAAAAACAAAAGATCATTTAGAGCAGGTGTAAGGGTAGCCAAGCGTTCTTCAGGTTAGGCTGACGTTCTCGTGACTGGTGTTACACATGTGGGCTCATTCTCGCCTGCAGTCATGTGTTCCTTCTGGCGGGCGTCTGCAGGGCACTGGGCTCCTCTGAGCACTGCGGGTGCAAGGTCTCTGCGCTCAGAGAGCTAGCAGTCTTGTCCTCACGATGCCAGACTGTGGCAGGGACTGTCTAGCTACCAAGGAGGATTTAGAGGAAGCTAAGGAAACCTTCGGTGATTCCTCGTTACCCATAGTAAAGGCTCCTCCTCTTCTCGTGTTGAGGGATTTCTCACTGTGGAATGGGAGAGCAGGACTGAGTGGGGGGCGGGGAGAGGCAGCTGGGGAAGTAGAGCATGGCCGACCCTTCCGCCTCTCCCTGTCCTCACAGAGTGCCCCTAAAATTCTGCTGAGCTGAGGGGAGGGGCTCACAGTAGCGCTCCTACCCTTGGATCAACTAACTGGGGACCCCTAGCATTTACGTTAAAGTTCATATCTCTCTGTCTTTCACAGCTTGCCATATCTGAGCAGGACCTTTGTCAGGCATAACTGCCAAGCCAAATCCAATAATGCTCCAGGGACTGGAGACCACATTGTTCACAAACTAAGCTTAGTGTGCTGAAGCCAGAAGTTCAAGTACAGCTGAGCCATGGAAGTTTATCTCCTACCCTACCCATTCTGGGGCCACACTGACCCCTGTAGCAGGTGGAGAGCTAGAACAGGGTGGGTGGGGACCTGGCTCACCAGATGTCTCCGCCAGCCCAGGGTGCGATAACCAGTACCACATGCCGGGGAGCTCGCACGGCAGACACTGGTTTTCCCCAGGTCCGGAGGCCAGAGGCCACGATCAAGGTGCTGACAGCGCTGTTTCCTCCAAGCCCTCTGTTCCTGGCTGGCGGATGGTGACTCTCTTTCTGCCTCTTCACATGGCCACCCCTCTGTGCACACATACCCCAGTGCCTTCCTCTTCTTGTAATGACACCAGTCAGATTAGATTAGTCCTCACCCTACTGACCTCATTTTAACTTAATGACCTCTTTAAGCCCCTGTACCAAACATGTTCCCATGCTGACATAGTGGGGGATTCGGACTTCACCACGAGTTTGGTGGGGGACACGGTGCAGCCTGTAACACCAGGAGCAAGCCACGCCCATAACCAAACTGGTCATTTTGGTGAAACTGCCTGAGGGAAACAGAAGGCCCAGTTTGTATCCGGTTCAGCTACTTTTGTCTGTACCTTAGAAGAATGGGGATGGAGCAAGGAACACATGCCTACTCATTAACCGTTGCTGTCACAACCAGTTGGTTAAGGCGGCCAGGGGACTAGTGATGGGCGTACATCTGAATCCCTGGGGCCAGAGCTAAGCAGGGTTGTCCCGGAGCTTCTACTTGATGCTAGTGAACGCCTCCTAAAACACGTGTGGCTGTCCTGGATTCCTTACAAGGACTAGAGCCAGTGTCTTGGAATTGGAAGCTGGAGCGGGGTGGAGGGAGAAGGGAATAGCCTGCCCTTGTGAAACTGGAATCTTGCTGGGTTAGCCCAGGTGCGGTGAGTCCCCTCGGGCCTCTAGAGCACTAGAGACCCCGCTGGCAGGGTGGGGGAAGGCACGGTGAAGTCTAAGCTGGGGTTCCTGGAATCAGCCTCCGAGTGAGGTCAGCTGACCCTGATGTTGGAGTCTCCTTGGCAAGCCCAGAACCCTGGAGCAGGGAGCAGGACCCTCCTTAGACCTTTGGAGCCCCGTACCCTGAACTCCCTTCTATAAATGAGGGGACGGAGGGCAACATGAAATCTGAAGTGGGCTGTTAGAGCGGTTTATCCAGTAGGTTCTGGACCCTGCATGGGTGGAGTCTCCGGGTGCAAATGGAGCGCTAGGAAGCAAAGACCTTTCGAGGGCACGCACTTAGCTCGAAATGTTGGCTGGTAGTTGACGAGGAGGAGGGATGACAATAACGTCTTCACCTGAAACAAGCCAGTGAGGGGCCCCTTAGTGTAGCATTCAAGACTTACCACCATACGGTTGAGTCTTTCTAACATAGCAGGTCCTTGAATGACATTTCTTTCCGTGTCCTCTCATTATAACATTGACAAAGTGCTATGAGAACTCCATTCTTGTTTATATCAGCCTACAGTAAGACTGGTTTTGTTACACATTATTTCACTTAGTCACAGACCCTACTGACGACATTAAGTGACAACCTACTGTACTCTCTCCTCTCACTCCTTTATATAGAAATATTTTCTAGCCAGATGTATACACTCTGCCCTCCCAGAAGGTCATGCACATTTCTGCCGTGGCCCTTGCCATTACCCACCTGGCTCATGCGCCCTCTTTAAACCCTGCTCTGTCCTCCAAAGTGCAGGTCGGCTCCTTTCTCCCCTCCCCACAGTGTTGAGGGAATGGGCCCCTCGTGTGAGGCTTCCTCAAATGCTGCTATTACCGCCTTGTCCAGGACCATGTGTTCTGCTTGCTTGTGTCCTCCACCAGGCGTAGAGAACTCCCTGCACATCTGAAATACCATCATTTGTTCAGTGACAGTGCTCTGCCAAAGCATGGGTGGGAAGTATGCAGCTGTTTCTAGAAGGAGCCAGATCTCTCCTCAGACCATCCTACTCCAAAATGCTTTTACATCACGGGTCCCTCAGCGGTCGATACAATTAATCCCAGCAGCTTTTCCCATACTGATTTTGTTAGCTAAGCATTTTGTGATCCTATTATTGTTTTTTGGCAGTTCCCAAACCGGATCTAGATTCATACGTGTTTCTGAGAGTGAAAGAGCGACAAGAAAACATTCTGGTAGAACCAGAAACAGATGAGCAGAGGTGAGTGACGCGTGGTTTTGACAGTGGGAAGTACTTCTCCCGGTAGAGAACCCACTATGCTCTCCATGTGTGTTTTTTTTCCTCTTTTTTTCAGGGACTATGTGATTGACTTGGAAGAAGGCTCACAGCACTTGATCCGGTATAAAACCATTGCGCCTCTAGTTGCTTCTGGAGCTGTACAGCTAATTTAAAACCGAAAAATAAACAAACAATGAAGACATGGAGCCTTAGAATATTTAGAAACTTCGTATACCGCTTCGTGCCTAAGGACAGTAGACTTCTCAGCAGCACGGTGGGTCGCCTGGGCACTAGGAGGCGCTCGGGGCGGGCTCCTGACTCCCCGTGCGTCCTGGCTCTCTGCTGTTGCAGCTGGAATCAGCAGATGGGGCCATCGCTCTGTTCAGCCCGCACGGCGGGCAAGTGTGCGACTTTCCTGGGTGCACCTTTTCCCATATGTTTTTTTTTTTTTGGACTAAGGAAAGGGAGGCAAAGATAATTCATAAAAAGGCATCACTGCCTGTAATTGGGGGACAGTGGTTAGCACTGACCTGGTAATGGCCGGGGAGTTCACGTCACCATCTTGGTAGAAAGAGTGTAAGTAGATTAAAGAAAACAGCCGTGGCCTTCTCTGATCTGTCTCTAAATTGTATAAACTTTTCGGAACCTCTAATGTTGGGCTTGAAACTAATCTCTGTCATGCTTCACTGAGAATCAAAACTAAACCAGTAAATCATTATCAAGTTTCGGTTTGTGGCAGAAGGAGCCTCAAGACAGGTCTCAGCTTGTGGTCCCACACATTACGTTCTCCCTGCTGCTGACCCGCATGCAGCCTTTTCTGAATCTCGGGCAGCTTCGCCGAGCCACCTCCCGGCCATCTGCTCACCCTTGGCCAAGGCTCTGTCGACAGAGGGACATTGATATCCGGTACTGTGACCTCAGAAGCGACTTTTCTTTTTTAAGCTCTTTACTTTCTCAAGGGAAATGGATGAAATTAAACCAATGAGTGGAGACGATCACCCTGAAGGAGGAATGATACCCGAAGAGGGAATGTGAGCAGTGAATGAATCATCTTTCCTTGCAAAATGATGAAAAGCAGCCTGCATTCCCGTCTTCCTGAAAAGGCAGGAATTTTTATATGTGTGATATAGGCTATTGGAGTAATTGATGTAATATTTGCTATGATTTTCAAGAGAAGTCTTTAAGTGAAAGCAAGGAAAATTTTATGAATAAAAGCATTCTATATTTCATGTAGTAGCTTCTTTTTTTCTAGACTGCTTTTACCTTCCCTAGCCATTCATTTAACAAATGTGTATTGAGCATTTAGTGTGACAGGGACAGTTCAGGGCACTGAGGCTCCAGCCCAGAATCAGACAGGAACTGTCCCTGCTCACGTGGTGATAAATGCCATGCAGAGAATTAGAACAGAGTGACTCCCTGGAGAGTTTGACTGAATTGGGTGGTCTGAGAGGTTCTCACTGAATTCAGTGTAATAGGCCAAGATCTGAATAACGAAAAAGGTGCCAGACACACAGAGATCAAAAGAAAGTCCACTCTGGTCAGAGAAGGCGGCATGTGCAAAGGCCCTGAAGTGGAAACGCACTCTGTCTGCAGACTGTGGCTAGAATGCAGTGTGCAATGTGGAGGATGGTGGCTAGAATGCAGGCTAAGGCCTGAGAGGCAGGCTGGGCCCAGAGCTCTTCAGGTTTGTTAGCAGAGATCCCATTTGGTCCTCAGAGCAGTCCTAAGGAGTAGGTTGGTGGTGTGTAGTAGGTGGGAAACAAGGTATGTTCAGTGATAAGTCCGAGACTAGAACCTGAGTCTTCTCCCTCCTGGGCATGAGTATGCACACCCACTCACCACTGCCTCCATTGTGCTAAGCGGCAAGGAAGAACATGGGCTATTTTGCTGTTACAAGCACATCCTAAGCCTTCATATGCATTCCAGTTGCCCGAAGATCTTGTTCAGATGCAGATTCTGAATCAGGAGTTCTGGGGTGAGGCCCAGGGTTCTGAGGAGGTCCCAGGCTGTGCAGTTGCTGCTGACCCAGGGACCACACTCCCGGTGGCAGGACTCTTGAGTTTTTATGTCTCTGGTTCCTGTCTTGCGGAAGCCGGGACTCAGAGTTGTTTAGGGTTTCCACGAGAGCCACAGAGTAAATTGCTCCATTTCCTAGTCATTGCTTCAAAGGAAGACTGGTTTTAAAATAAAGGGGAAGTTGAGCCTCAAAACCAGGTAGAAAGGGAAATGATGTCTTAATGTGACGTTCACTGACTGTAACTTTTTTAGTTTGTGGTGTTTTGCTTCATTGTTAAAAACTCGACACCGGAAGCATGGCAGAACATCTCCTTCAAATAATCATACTTTATTATCCTAAGCTTGTCACCAGCAAGGTTGCTATTCCCTAGAAGCGCTTGCAGGCCCCTGTCTGGGTTTTCTCAGCCACAGCGGCCCTGTGTCGGCTGAGACCGAGCAGGGGAGCCCAGCCGTGCTTACCCTGTGCCTGGGTCCCGCAGGCAGAAGGCTGCAGTGCCGTCTTCACATGTGTCAGACTCCCTTCTGGGATTTATATGAAGTTGACCATGAAGCCTTTGGAGTGGACTGTTAAGCAAGTACATTATTTTTCAGTTCTTCATGTAATGTTTTTTAAAGTAATTTATCATGGGAGGCTAAAAATCCCAAACATTTGGAATTCTTCAAATTGATTTTTTACGTTATTTATTTATGTTTAGAGAGGGGAGGAGAGAAGGAGAAAGCGGGGAGAGAGAAACATCGATGTTCCAGAGGAATATCGATTGGTTGCCTCTCGCACATCCCCAACTGGGAGTCTGCCCACAACCCAGGCCTGTGCCCTGACCAGGAATCAAGGCCAACGCTCAATCCACTGAGCCTTGAGCAACCATCACCACCATCCATCTTTGTAACTCTTCTCATCTTGTGAATCTGAAATTCTACACCTACTGACCAATAACCCCCCCTGACCCCCTCCCCACAGCCCCTGGAGACCACCCTTCTTTCTGTTTCTATGATTTTGATGACTCCAAATACCTCATACAAGTGGAATTGTGTAGTATTTCTCTTTGTGACTGGTTTATTTCCCTTAGCATATGTCCTTAAGGTCCATCCATGTTGTAGCATCTGTCAGAATTTCCCTCCTTTTTAAGGCCGAATAATATTCCGTGGTGCGCACAGTATGCCACATTCTGTGGCTCCTGTCATCTGTCAGTGGTGGTGGGTTGCTCCCACCTTTGTCCTATTGTGGATAATGGCGCTATAAATGTGTGTATACAAATACCTTTTCAAAACTGTTTTCAATTTTTTGGCATATATATACCTGGAAGTGGAATCGCCAGATCCTATGGTAATCCTCGTTTTAATTCTTTGAGGAACTGCCTTACTGGTTTCCACAGGAACTGCCATTTTACATTTCCACCAACAGCGGCACACAGGTTCCAGTTTCTCTACATCATGGCCTTGTTCTGTATTGTTCTGGGGTGTAAGATGTTATGTCATTGTAGTTTTGATTTGCATTTCCCTGATGATTCGTGATTTTTTAAAGACTTATTTATTTTAGAGAGAGAGCAAGGGAGGGACAAAGAGAAGGAAAAACATTGATGTGTGAGAAATACATTGATTGGCTGCCTCTCACACACCCCCAACTGGGGTCCTGGCCCATAACCCAGGCATGTGCGCTGACTGGGAATCGAACCAGCGACCTTTCAGTTTGCAGGTCCGTGCTTAATCTACCGAGCCACACCAGCCAGGGCTGATTAGTAATTTTGAGCATCTCTTCATGTGTGTGTTGGCTCTTCCTATAACTTCTTTGGAGAAATATCTATTCAAGTCCTTTGCCCATTTTTTTAAAGATTTTCTTAATTTGTTTTTAGAAAGGGAGAAAAACATCAATGTGTGCTTGTCTCTTATATGCCCCATATTGGGGACCTGGCCCACAACCCAGGCATATGCCCTGACTGGGAATTGAACTGGTGACCCTTTAGTTCACAGGCTAGCACTCAATCCACTGAGCCACACCAGCCAGCTTTTGCCCATTATTTAATTGGGTTTTCTGTTCTTGAGTTTTAGAAGTTTTCTATATATTCTGGTCATTAACCCCTTATCAGGTAAATGATTTTCAAATATTTTCTCCCATTCTATGGGTTGTCTTTTTACTCTGTGGATAGTGTTTTTCAATGCATAAAATTTAAAATTTTCATAACAGTTTGTCAATTTTTTTTGTCGCCTTTGTCTTTGGTGTCACAGTCAAGAAATCATTACCAAATCTAATGTTGCAAGGCTTTTGTGGTATGTTTTCTTCTAAGAATTTTATGATTTTGGGTCTTAAATTTAGGTTTTTGATACATTTTGAGTAAATTTTTGTAGATTGTGTCAGGTAAGTGTACAACTTCATTCTTCTGCATGTGACTACCCAGTTTTCCTAGCACCATTTGTTGAAAAGACTGTTCTTTTACCCATTAAATGGTCTTGGCCACCTTTGTCAAAAATTATTCGACCATATATGTGAGAGTTTATTTCTGAGTTCTCTATTCTGTCTCATTGATCTGTATGTCTGTCTGCATCACTTTATCACTATTCTGATTATTGCCATTTTGTATTAAATTTTGAAGTCAGGCAATGGGAGTCCTCAGTTTTGTTCTTTTTCAAGATGGTTTTGGTTATTCAGGGTCCCTTGAAATTCCATATGATGAGATTTTTTTTTTCTATTTCTGAAAAAAGGTCATTGGGATGGATTTTGATTGCATTGAATCTATAAATTGTTTTAGGTGGTATCGAGATTTTAACAACTTTAAATCTTTTGTTCCATAAACACGGGGTGTGTTTTATTTATTTAGGGTTTTTTAATGTCTTTCAGCAGTGTTTCATAGTTCTCACTGTGCAAGTCTTTTACCTCCTTAGCTAAATTAATTCCTAAGTATTCTTTTCAATGCTATTATAAATGAAACTTCGTAATTTTCTTTTTCAGATTGTTCATGTATAGCGATACTGTATAGTGACCTTTCTTTTCACCTTGCAGTACCCCCTTGAACATTTCTTGCAGGGCAGGTCTAGTGGTCATGAACTCCTCAATTTTTATTTGTCTGGAAAAGTCTTAATTCCTCACTTTTAATGGACAGTTTTGCTGGATATAGAATTCTTGATTGATAGTTTTTTTTCTTTTAGCAGTTTGCATATATCAACCTGCTGTCTCGTGACCTCCAAACTTTCCGATGAGAAATCTGATAATCTTATTGAGGATCCCTGGCATATAATGATTCCTATCTTCTTTCTTTCAACACTGTTTTTTGAAAGTGTAAATATAATATGTGATTATAATAGGTCTCTGAATTCATCTCACTTGGAGTTTGTTGAGCTTCTTGGACCTTTGTCTTTCATCAAATTAACAATGTTTTTAGCCATTATTTCTTTAAATACTTTTGTTGCCCCTTTCTGTCTCTTTTCTCCTTCCGGGACTCCCATGATGCATATTTTGGTCCTCTTGATAGCTATGTCCCACAAGTCCCTAATGCTCTGTTCACTTTTCTTCAATCTTTTTCCTTTCAGTTACTCAGCCTTGATAACTTCCATTGCTCTATCTTCAGATTCATTGAATCTAGCTTCTGCCTGCTTAAATAGGCCTCTGAATTCCTCTAGTGAATTTTTTTCATTTTTAGTTATTAAAATTTTCACCTCCAGGATTTCTTGTTGGGTTTTTTCTTTAGGTTTTATGTGTCTTTATTGATATTTTCATTTTTGTCCACCATCATTTCTTGACTTTCTCCACATCTTCCTTTACTTCTTTGAGTATTTTTAAGATACTTGTTTTAAAGTCTTTGTCTCGTATATCTACCATCAGGTCTTTCTTAAGGACAGATTTTGCTGATTTTTTTCTTTTGAAAGGGTTGCACTTTCCTGTCTGTATGCCTTGTGCTCCTGTGTTAAACACTGGTCATTTGAATCTAATAATATAGTGACTCTGGACATCCAATTCTGCCCCACTCTTCAGGGTTTGCTGTTTTTGATATTGTTTTTGTTTCTTTGATTGTTGTAGGCTCAGAGCCAAGGTCAACCTTAGATATAAACTTAATGTCTTCTTAGGCCTTTCCTGAGCCTTTCCCAGAGCACATGCATCACATTCTAATTTTATCTGTATGCAGTTGTCTTTTAATGTCCTAGTCTTCAAGTCTGACTCCTGAATGGGGAAAAGGCCAAAAATAAAGGTGAGAGAAATAGGC